TCCTTACAAAAAATCATTACAAGTCCCTCCGTTCACTGCAGAGGATCTTCCTTAATGTGTATCCTGCTGTACAAAACTTTGAGTTTTCTACGGACACAGGAATTCTAAGTAACTATTGTTCGTCGGATATTTTCACTCACGTCGTAGTAAGAAGGGCCAGGTCAGGTTGGCCGCTTTGTCAAGCCGACGGCGTTCCCCCATTATATATGCTGTGCTTTGTGTCAAACCTAGAAGTCCCAACGAAATTCACCAAAAGTGGCCTTCGGTTACTTCCCTATAATCACATCTTTCGTATCGTCTGCGGAGCGATAGTAGAGGAATACTGTTACACTGAGATATTACTGTTCAAAGTGATGTGTCTGCTGGTGAATCAAACGTTCAATTGCAGTATTTTGAGTGTTGCTCAACCCCGAGGCCATTGGTGTGTGTTTTATCTAAACAGCTTCCGTAAGACCCTACCCACACTTACTTTACAGCGTCTGGAAGAACCGTGCTCATGTTCACAAACTTCAATAGAAGTAAACAATGTGGAAGTGGTTTTTTGCTGTAAAGCATCAGAAAATTCGTTAGGCTTTAGTCCAATGGGTAGGAAGCCGCGTCAAGCGGTTCTTCTGGAGATGTCTTTGGAAGCTGTCAAACTGCTACACGTTTGAAAATTGCCCATTTATTACAGCACATAGAGTAGAATTTTCTTTTAGTCAGAAACAAAGCATCCCTGTTTAACATGGTTTTTGTAACTTGATGTTGTTTCAAGAAGTTCAGCCCAAGCAGATGGCTGCGGTGTTAATCTGATTAATTGAAGGCGTTCAACAGCTACGGAATCCTACCGGTTGGCTGGATCTTCTCACGTCACAGGTGAAATGTTATTGAAGATACTGTAACAAAAGCGTGTATACGGTTACGGAGGGCTCTAGAGCGGCTTTCCACCAGTTGTTCACTATCGGGTTCATCAAGTATGCTTATTTCTACATAATCCATGTGCACTGTGCAAGTATGCAAAGATGAGCTTAGAATTTCAAGGAATCGTCGAGTCCATGAGTTTTCGTCGCAGCAAGAAGAACACCATTAAAGTACAAGGGTGTTGTTTAGATATATAATTGAAAGTTCTTTGTCATAAACCTTTTCACAATAGGAGCATTCATATATATATATATATATATAGTTGCGTTAGTCAAGCAATACTAAATATATACTTGGTGACGATTTCAACCGTCTGGCTGCGCATCACTTAAACCTATTTACCCCCATTGTTGGTTAGCACACTGTGTAAATGAGAGAAGGGGTTTAGGACGCTGTTCATTTCATTGTGAGAAAAGCTTGTACATTAGAGTGTAAAGTGGCGAACAGGAAAGACATCTACCAGGATTAAATACAGCAAATTATATAAATTACAGCAAAGGCTAGGTTGACAAAAGTCCTTCAAATGTTTTTAAACAGAAGTACATAGTCGCACCACGCAAATCAACGATTTCCACGTGACTCAAATGCCTCATTTCCACAGAACAGCTCACTTCTTTGGCCTGAAGGAATCAAGCCACTCCATGGCTAATGGGAATACAATGGTTGAATTTTGTTCGGTTGCAATCGTAGCCAGTGTTTGTAGATAACGAAGATGTAAGGCAACCGGAGTGGCACTCATCTTAAGTGCCGCTTCGCGTAGCATCTCTGATGCATCCAGTTCGCCTTTGGCCGCGATCACTTTGGCACTAGCAGCCCTGGCAGCCTGAGCCTCGGCGGCCATTGCTCGTTGCATATCCTGAGGCAGAGATACGTCCTTTATTTCAACACGCTCCACCTGAAATTGAAATGATAAACGAAAATCCGTCTAAATTCAAGTTCAAGGTGAGTAAGTCTGCTGTCTTTAAGGCGTTCGTTTAAGGAGAAAGCGTTTCGAATACAAGACGGTAGATCTAGTCCGATGGACGGGTGCTGTTTTAAAGAAACATCTGATATTTGTCGAGTTACATACAGTACGTAAAAATCCGGTTTTGTAAGTGAAACTACTTTGCAAGGTTCAGGATGAACTTCTGTTTTCTGGAAATGGCGTTTATTCAGGGCTAGGCCATTCAATTGTCTTGTCCGGAGAAACTAAATGATTAAAGGACTCGCCATCGTCGACGGCCGCAACTAATCAACCTTTGCCAACCGGATTTCAACAAACTAAGCAAACACATTGTTACTGTGCGTGTTCCGACAGTGTCAAGACCAAGCCAGCAGATGTAGTCATTCTCCTTAGTGTTGACCCATAGAAGAAGGGAGAAGAACACCGAGGTTGTGTGTGGTTCGTGTGGTTCTTTTTATCTCCCTCTAATAGGTACCGCCAATTTACTTTTCAAAATATCTGAAAAAGTAAAGGTTTAAGAAAATTGTTTTTGGAATATTCATACTGATATTTGCACTTTTACTGCCGGTGCAGAAATAGGAAACGTAGAGCCAACTGAAGACGGTTTGATCACTCTCTTCCAGCTTCTAGTCACTCAGACTAAAGCGAAATCGTCTTCGTGTTAATTCCAGTGTAAACACTTCGGTTCCTGGATGAGTGCAAACGCAAGAACAGATAAAAGCCATTATACAAATGAGTCTATTTGTCCAACCCCCGAACGTTAAGCGAAACAGAGCAAAATTGCAGGGAGTACTTCAAGCCGTTCGGTTAAGTTTCCTCGTTTCGAAGGCCCGTACAGGTGCGTTACATTCTGATCGGCAACTGAGCGTTTGGACCGCACAGGATACTTGAAATCATAATAAAATTTTGAAGACTATATGTCTTTATAAACATGGATGATGTCTTCTTGAAGTAAGAGCTAAATTTGCCACCTTGAAAAGCTAAGCGACAATGTGTCCTCTTTGTGAATCTTCGCAGAAGAGAGCATGATTTTTAAACTACTTACAACGAAGGGATCACACGAAAAAACACTTCACAAAAAAAAAACAATTCCTCGGATGAACAATCTGACAACCGAAGATAAGTTTAGATGTTTCCTCAGGAGAAGAAAGCAATTAACGTTAGAAATAGATAAGTAAAAACACTTAGATTATGGGTGGGAAATTGTGTATTACTACTGGTGACGACCAGATACTTGAGGAGTTTGATCGCCTATGCTAGAAATCTCTCTTGGTACATGACTGCAAACGGTTGCACTCTGTTCACATATAAGATTCAATTATGAAAAATCACTGAGTCGGAATCAGAGAAGTAGACTGCGTCAACCGAAGCGTTACAATGAAAGACCGGAGGACATGCGATTTAGTATGATCACTTAGGGAACAATATAAGAAGAGAACACTGTTGAGGATCACATGATAATGCGCAAATATGGAATATATTGAAAGCGGTAGGATACCACTTATGGGTGGCGTTGTGTGTGTCACACTTCCGTTTATTTTACTCATAAAAACATTACAGGAAGACACATTGCTTTGTTTTTTCTGATTTCTGGGACTCATCTCGCTGTATGTAAAGATAATATGCCGTTCTTAGACTTAGGTACGTTGACTGGAACGGGTTTTTGTTCACAAGGACATCCACTGTAGGATCACGTGAGCTTTGGAGAGGTTTGGTGAAAACACTGTATAATAAAAACAGCATAAATTTGTTCAAACAATACTGGTTCTCGTCAGTTGCATACTTAGGTGAAGCAATCCGATTACCGTAATAAAGCTGGTTCATTTAGTTCCCAAAGCTGTGGCGTTTACATGCCCTCAGTCCAAATGAGATAACACAAGCTAGGTGATAGATCGCTGCTTGATGCATACCATCAAACACACGTATTATGTCGGCATACATGTTCTCTCATACACCTGCAACCTTATTCCATCCCGGCAACCCACCTTGACAAAACAGAAATGCAACTTCGACTAATAACCGTGACAACGTCTAGACAGGTCATTTAGACAGCTCCAATTATCGCATTCAGTTTAAAACAACTTTTAAGGAACGTTCATCGCGTTTACATCGGCGAAACATTTGAAATCGCTTTTCAGGTAAAGAATTCAAAACCATTTTTCTAAAATGACGATAACGGCAAAACTCTTTCACAATTTTTCATAAGTTGCGAACATTTCATGTGAATGACCATTTTTAGTAGTGCTGTGATCCGTTTTCATTACGGCAGATTTTCTACGATCACTCCAATAAGCCTTTTACTTCACAATCAATGACCCGTGTATCTGATGAGATACAACAATATATATTCGGAATTTGGTACAATCGCTCGCACTCTATCCGAGGTTGCTCCCCTCCTGAGAGAGCAAATTTCAATATACATTTCTAGAGATCCACTATATTTAGGGGGTATTTTTTTAATTACGGTGCTCCAAAGGTGTTTTATGTGCCTGTCTTTTTAGTACACGCAGCCTCATTGTTAGCCTCACTCTGAAACACACTAGTTAGTCTTGGAGAACAGTATCTTCCCTGAAAAAAAACTATTTCTATTCAAAATCAATATCCATCCTGTATTTGTCCGGGTCCGTATTTCTACCATGAAGTTCCTTTTCTGATACAGGAAACTGAATGGTTCACAAACCAGTTACTTACCGTAAGCGTCTATTTTGGATTTCTAAAACAGTGCACTCTGTTTATAAAGGCCAATATTCTCTCCGAAGTCAGGTAGCTCACTTCGGAGAATCTGGGCAAAGTGACGCTGTTTGCGACGTTAGAAAGAAATAAAGTGCTCAATTTTACGCAACAAAACGACACGAGACGACAACTCATGGGAAAGTTAAGATCCAGTCTGTAACAGATGTTGGGCCAGTTGTGTAAGCTGCGTTATCCAGTTTGTTAGCCGAACTCACCTGGGCGACAATATTCATCACGTCATCAGCTACCATAAACGTTGTTGTAGCTCTTTATATGATCCTCTTCTGTTCTTTAACCTTGACTACACAGATCATGTGGTATAAGAATCAAGGCCATTCATTGGGATCCTACAATTGTCAGTTTGCTCTCTCATTCATGGACAAACTTCGCCCGTCTAACTGTTCATTGGTGCGCAGCAGATTAAGGTTGTGAAAACGACTAGGCAGCTAACTTTTCCTTCATTCTGAGAAGAAGTGGCATATCTCCAAGGTCAAGGGCCCCATATCTATACACGACCTAGAGAACTGCTGAAGAAAATAAACCTTAAAAATTGCATCGGACTCAATTGAGACCTTCACAAGTGATAAGACAGCTTAAACTTGCAACCACTGCCAGTTTTGAATTAAAATAAGTCGTAACACAGTTTGTTACTAACCTACCCATAAACATTAGCATGCATCTTCGTCCAGCACATCTTTTTCGTTTTTTGCTCAACGTCATTATTAGTCTACCACTATCTAAACACCTACTGCCAGTTTCAGAAATCTTTCTGAATAAGTAGAAAGAAAGCGCCCAAGTGTGCATCAGAACCATTACCGTATGTATCTCGACTGAATTCAACAACACCAACTTTAGTTGTTATTGCCGCAATCATAATGAAATGTGATATAAAATAGTAGTTGACCTTTATCTATGTTTCCAAAGGTCTTACTGCTAAAGTAGCGATAGTGTGAACTGTATCGAGAACCAACGTTTCGATTTGTATAGGTTATACTGCTATCGTACCTTTCTGTGGAATCCATTTGTTGCGATTTGTAACTAGCTGGGTAGCTCAGGTTTTACGGGCCGCAGTCAGTCAGTAGGCAAAGTGACAGGATGCACATGAATAGAGAAAGATGACGGCATTAATCATAAAACCAAGCAAAAATTCGGTGAGGTCGACACTTTCGGTTGGCCTCCTCTAGAGAATCTATAGTGTGAAATATATCATTTTTTTAACTGATACGTTAAAGTGCTTTTCCATAGAAAACTCTAAGCCAACAACCTTTCGGCTGTTTTTTCGAGATTCTTTTGCGTGAGAAGGGCAACCCATTTAAAACCAATTATATGTGAATCGGGGAGCTCTGAAATAAACCTCAGAATCCTATTGACCGCTCATTCATGATATAGGGAGTAAAATTATAAAGAATTAGTGCACAAAGTGACTGACTTTATTCGGAGATGGATGGAGGCGGAACTAAATTTGGCCTAGAGTTATTAGGTAAGTACTTCAACTTTTTCTCCACATTTCAGTGGGTGTTTTATGACCACATTCGTCTTCTCCATTGAACATCACACAGAAGACGTTTCTGCGAGCTTACTTTATGCAGGAAATTCACCCGTTCATAAGCTATGACCATACCTTTATTCCCCAAGGGTCAGTCCCTTGGTCCAATTCTGAGCGCAATTGTGAATCTATCTCTGACCGACGCGTCAATAATTCTGCTAAATCATATGTTCCAAGCACCGTTCGAAGAATGCTCACGGCTAGTAGTTGCGTCGACATTTGCCAGTTCTCAACACGAAGAATCGCTGAAGCAGGATCTACGACATGCATGTAGACCAGTGCATCCACAGTAACCGTCACGGAATCTTTTGTCAAGATATCTTGTGGTGGAATATTCACTGTAACAGTTCTCATATCCACTTTGATCATTTGGTCAACACAGGGTAATTTGAATCGTATTCCTGAATTAAGAATGGCGGAGCCGTTTTGTTTGCGCAACTTCCCCAGGCGTAGCATTATTCCCTTCTCGTAAGATTGAATTATTGCGAAGGAGAACCAGACGGTCAACGGAAATGTGCATAGAGAAAGAAGAGCCGCAAGAACAATGACAAAATATCCACAGAATCCATGGCCTTCTGGTTCAAGGTCAGCCTGCTCAGTTGCGGCTGGAAACGAATTTTGATGCACATCACGCACATCAGATGCGCTTTGTCGATGTTTCCTTTGCCTTACTTTGTTTGGTTCGGTTGAATTTGCCAAACCGGCCTCCAGCTGAACACTGGACATCAGTGAACAGTAAGCGGAGATTCACAATAATAACCCGGAGCTGCTCTCCATCTATCGATTTCCGTGGTCATGGCAATGCGCGTAAACAGAATAGGACAAACACGAGTGGTCTGTGACCACCACCATATGTCAGACTGTTCATGTGGGTTACGCAGGTCACCTAATGACTTGCGCGGTGGTGAGGACATGCTGCCTCTCGAGATGGGGGCGAACTCTACCATCAGTTTAACATGGAAATGCCTAACACGTATTCTGCGCTCTGTAACCTGTGAGTGCTGCTTAAATGAAGCGTTTGTTGTTGATTGATAAAGCAGTAGGAATGCAAACTCATCAGTAACAGCACGCCTATGAAAGACATTTCTTTCAGGTTTATTTGCTTCTTCGGTGAATTAAGCGTCTGTCAGTCAGATACAATAAGATAGGCGTATTTACAAGAATCACCATCAACTACGATTTCACACAGAGTGATAGCGAAGATATCAAGAGGATCTTACTACGTTGAAATTGAAGGCATTTAAGCTGGTATGTTAAATTCATTTCAAAATTTATGTCCTGAGTATCAGTCAAGAAAGGCTTCTACCGCTGACCTGTTGTTGACCAAGCAGTCGCAAAAACAACTGCTAAAGTACCCACACAGATCGGATGCCTGCTTTTCAAAGTTTCACAGTTAATTTGGCATGATGCATTTGACCATGTCGAAGTCTCAACCAAACCAGGCTTGTTTAGATGTTTACCACACTGGTGAACATTTTTATTGCTATTAATTCGTTAATTTAAACATAAGTGTTGGTGATGTACAACCTTCCTATGCTGAACTTTGGCTCACTAGCTTTCTTTGTCTTATTCATCCACAGAAATCGTTGTGAAGGCCCCCCTTCGGAGAAAAACTGTCCATTGGAATTTCCGTAGCGTAAAAACTACATATTTGGCGTATATGGGGTGCGGTGACAAAGGAAGAACACGCGGGTACGATCATAAAAACACACAAGGAGTGTCGGTTATTGAGGGATTCTTGATCTCTTCTGAATGGTAAATAAAGATGTCTTCATGTTCTAACTTCATTACTACCGCCGCTTTTTAAAGTAGAAAAAAGCGATTCTACTTAACGGCTGTGTGAGATTCGACATTTGTCACACTACACACTCGTCAAAATGTGCGTTCCTCCAACGGGAAATCAGCTTCCTCAGGCATGTAATCTCAGCCAACGGAATCCTGTATGATCTTGTTGAGATAAAAGAAGTTAAGATGTGGCCAACGATAAAATAAGCTGACGAAACCCGCAGCTTAATGGGAGTGGCTTCATATTATCGTCACATTGGAGCTGAGTTCGTCACGATCACTGAGCCACTTACATCCCTCCTGCAAAAGAACGCTCCTTTTGTTTGGTCCAAAAAGTAAACAGCTCCGTGACTGTCTGTGTTCCACACTTATTATGGTCTGTTCGAAAATATCACCGTCCCCTGGTACCTTCCTCCTAGATGCCCTTGCACCTGAGAAGTGATTGGTGGTGTGCTGCCTCAGTGCTCGGGTGGTTCGATGCAAGGAGTAACCGCATATGCCAGCGCAAGTGTCTCTCATCGAGAAAAGCGATATAGTACCACACACAAAGAATTGTCGGCATTCATGCTCGTCATGCGAAACTTCAGGCACTACCTTGTCGGTCACAGGCATCTGGTGCTAACCGACCATAAATTGCTACTGTGGTCCTGAAGGCCAACTGTCCAGATGGCAACGGTATCTGCAGGAATGTGATACTGCGAGTAAGCATCGAGCGAGTAAACAACAATAAAACGCAGATGCACTGTCCCGCAGACCAATCCGTGATGATGACGATTGCCCCTCGCGCTTGGTTTCTTACATCTTATCGATAGCTCTACAAGCACAAGAAATCGAGGAGTGGGTCACAATGTCCTCTACCACTAGAAAGCCTCCACATATTTGCGTCTTATCGTAGTACTAACCAGTACCGTTGAAACTGTTTTGAAGCACCTCCATGATTCATTTTCTTATGCGGTGAGAAAAAAACAATGGCAAGATAATGTCTACTCAATGTCCATATTTTACCTAAACCCGACGTCCTAACCCTTGTGGTGGCATTTATAATTCGCCCCCGCGGAATACGTAAGCGTATACGAATGCGTCCTCCGTTGTCGTTTTTCATTTGTTGGTGACGGAAGTGATTCGAGCATAGTCCATAAACTGTTTTCGAAAAAGTTTGGTGACAATCGGTATATTTATACCTGTACAACGATTCGTTTTTGACACAAAAGCTTCGTCAGGTCAAGTGACTAGGTCCCGAGGTTGGTCGAGATTTCAAGCAGAAGGAAAACAAATCAGCTAAATCAACCTAAATCTCTGTTAAGTGTCGGCCGAGGGATTTTTGTGTTAGGGTGGTTAAACAACTGCATGATGACTTTTTCATTGGTCCTTGTTATCAGAACAGGATACGGGAAATTTAACATCATGTGTAATCTTGCCTGTGCGTAGCGGGCAAGCTAAAGACCAACATATTCATCATCACATGCCTATCGTGCATCTTCCAAGGTTGATCACTCATTTGAATCAAAATTTCTACATTTCTTCCATTAATGAAATTCTAAGGAATTTCGCCAGTGCTCACTTAGTCTATATATGTTTGGAGGCAACCTAGTCCTTCAATAACCACTCGACATTTGCTCATACACCTATCACGCCCTTGGCCAGATTCTTTGGTACCACACAAGCTGCACGCACGATTAGGAAGAAAAATATGAATAAACTTTTATTGCTCTGAAGCGACCGAAATGTCTTGAACTAGACTGGTCGCTCACCTTTCGTGATATACTTCACCTTGCGTGTGAAACATTGAGCGTTGTCCATCGTCACTCAACTTTGATCAAGTCATGAAACAGTAAACGATGCTGGTCATTCGCTCAATCGACGCATTTGGCAACGACCTGCAAAAATACAGAGGTCGTCAAATCTGCACTTGATTTTTTTATTCGAGAACTAACCGTTACCTTGTAAGGGACTCTCCAGGGATAATCCATTTCCAGAGAGGACTTACCGTGTCTTTAGTGGCAGGAGAAGAACGTAGATCACAAGATTAGTGCGCATCTCATCCCGCTTTGTGCATGGTCAAAGCTGTCCTGAAACGCACGGATGCTAGATCAGACTGACCAATCTTTCCTGAAAGTACTGTGCTTTGCTGAGCTCGCGAGATTTGTAGACCCCAATAAAACCAAATCCTGAAGGACTACCGATAATCACGGATTCTTATATTTGGCACTGAACAAAATTTCGCAGAGAACGCTAATCAACTAATAAACTCCTGAAAAACGAAACAGCCGGTTATCTTTATTATGAAATTTTATTGGAACAAAAGACCTTCCTATAAAATCTACTTTCGAGAAACCAACACCTAACTTCGTGGAAGGCACCGCTCATTCAGAAAAGCGGCCTAACACTGAAGCTTGCCAACAATCTTGTTTCACTATTTCACTCATGATCCCCGGTTATCTTACATCTTTTCCGATCAGTTCATGATGTACTGCAATTCTAGAGTGAAATTCGGATGATCAGGCCTTCTAATGCACAACTTTCCAGCTTTTGGTACCAGTTTGAAAAAAATTCTCCACTATGTGGCGCTAGCGGTTGCTGCACCACTTGCCTGTCGTCAAACGCTGAGACTTGTGTGGCATTAGGACTTTTCGTATTCTTTCCTCCCAAGCGGCTATTTTCGGCAGTAACAACACGAGCACCACGCGTGCAAACACCGGATAAGTTTTAATGGAATCCTGGGGCAGGACGTGTGGTAGTGTGTGATACGTAGTGGTGTGACGATCAACGTTGATCACACCCAACAGGGGTGTGAGGCACACGAACTGCAAGTAATTTAGCTGATTGTATCACATTGACTAGCCAAGAAGCCTAATGCAGCTATAGCTCTTTGTTAATCGGAATAACGAGGACATAAGATGGATACTGGCACATGTAAGTTTTTTACTATGGTCATTCCGTACCACATAACCAATAACGTTTGAAACGTGTTTATAAGGATTTTACTGTAGGAAGAATGATACGGGCTGGGTAGAAATAAGTAGCGAACTTTTGTTTTCCAAGTCCACAAAGACATTTTCTGAATGCATAAAGTAGGTCTTAGTTTACCAGTGGCAATCACGTCGGCAAATCGATAAAAGGGATAGCGTTTGCTAAAGCACGGCTCGCGTTCGCCATCCAACGGCTTATCATTCTTCAACATACCAAACGAGTTTGTGCAATATCTGGACTTTTCAGCGTCAGAGATGCTCAAATCACAATTGCAAATGTCTGCTTAAAACAGGTTTCCGAGAAGGCAGTAACAGCTTTGGGGAAATAATGCTTTGAGTATGATCAGAAAATCGCTACTCTCATGGTTTAGGTCTCGACCCACACTTGTATATGTTGCTCACAGATCAGAACTGCAAATATTTAACAGCCGGGCTTATGTTGTGTTAAAAATAGGGTGGAGGTCAGTTAGGCAGACAAGAAGGCGAGTCACTTGGAGATTTCGAATCTTGGTTGAATGCGGGTGGAATGCGACTATCAAATGATAAACGAATAAATAGATAAATAAATAAACAACGAAAATTAGACATTGAATTGTAAATCAATAGAACTTTGGATCATATATCCGTCCTGCCGATTTTATCCTATTTCTGTTAAAACTAGTTAAGCCGCACGGTAGCACAAGAGATGCCCAACCTGATGAATATGCTGATGAGAGAGGTCAAATATGTGTACATTATTTCTCAGCAGTTTTAGATTGACGGCTCTCGAAAAAGCGGTTATATTCGCATGATGATTTGCTGGAAATAACTAGTACATATTTATTTGTTCTATGTATACGAACATGATAGGTATGTAGTTGTATTGGAGTGGTTGAATGAGCGAATTTATACAATCACTTGATTGCATTGCTCGACTATACAGAACGAATCAGGAGATGTGCTCGATTCCTGAGGAAA